GACCCCACCCATCCCAAACCCCTGACCTTCCATTCTGCAGAGGAATGAAGGTCAAGTGGATATTTTGATAAAAAGGAGCAGTGAGGCTGCTACTCGTTACTACGCTACCAAGCCACACGTGTGAGAATTTGATAAAAAACAAGCCACTGACCTTTTTAATGACGCTGTCCAGAGTCTCGGGGCGGCTGATGTCAAAGCAGATCAGGACGGCATCGGAGTCGGGGTACGCCAGCGGCCTCACGTTGTCGTAATAGGAGGAGCCTGTGGATTCACACACACACAAACACACACACACACACACACACGCACACACACACACACACACACACACACACACACACAAAATGAGTCACATATGGTGAGAACAAGGTCGGTACCGGCAGCATGAAATAAACACGCAAGCTTGTCCCAGGAGCCCCAGCGGCGTTCATCCCCCTGACCATATGCAAAATTATGTCCATTAGTAGGTTTTGTGAAAGTCAACACAATCCTTTCCAAGTTGTTTTCATTTGCTGAATTCATCCATACTGATCTTGTCATAAAAACTTTATTTCCTTTCTTCAACCAATCACATTTGAAAACTTTTGCCGATGACATCTGCATTATTCCATTCTCTGATTGGTGGGTTGGAGGAAAACCAAGCCAACTTCATCTGTAGCAATTGCAGCTATTTCTGGCATCTATTGCTTATCTATTAGCAGCCAGAACCTTTGCTTCAGAAGAAAAATGAAGATGCCCATGTACTGTTAAGTTTTTAGAACCACAATATCAACACACTTCCTCAACCTCACATTTTAAACCCCTCTATGAGGATTTTACAAGAATATTTTTACCCCACACTTGCATCTCCAACTGCATTCCCACCCTATATATATGGAAACTAACCCTACTTAGCCTATGGCTACATTCCTCAAACGGCTAGTTGGCGAGCTAGCTAGCTAGAAAGCTGGCGAGCTAGCTAACTAGCCCGTTGTCCAAGGGATGGACAACGGGCTCATCTGCTGCGACACTTCCCCGCTTGGTGCTGTGTTGGTCCACGTCACAGAGGCAATTTAGTGAACGGCAACAGACATTTAGGCACATACGTCCTGATACTTACACTCAAGGTTGCCTGAATAATAAAAAATATAGTACATAACACTTAGGAGTTGAAATGACGACACCAAGCTGTTCCGTTTTGGGGTGTCGGCTAGCTAACTACATACTGCAAGGGTAGAAATGGTCCAAGTAATTGTAACGAAGTAGCTGGCCATTGCACACACAGTTTTCAGTCTTTGCACAGCAATTATTCAGCAATTATCCTTCGAACAAGTATCACTTATGCATTGCACGGGTCTTGTTAGAGTTACTAATGACGCCACAGGCGATGAAATTTGAAGCATATTTTTACAGATCATTATACTTAAAGTCCTAACTTAACACTCCATCTCTTTCTCAGGGTTTGGTCCGGCATGAGGGTGGTCTTCTATTATCAATGTAAGAATGTGGAGTGTTTCTCAAAGTGAGGCCGTAGTGGTGCAAGGGCCGCCCAGCTTTTGTTCCTCATCTGGAAAGCAGCAGCACAAAGGCCAAGCTGAAAGGTTGAAGCCTTTAGAGGCATTGCTCAAACCGTCTCGGAATTTTGCTCGGCGCTCTTGAAACTGCGCCGCTCCTCCCTCTCAGAAATCGGTGGCCATCCAGACGCATGCTTTTTGAACAGCAACGGCATCAATACCGTGAGACTGTGCATGCGTCACTCCTGCTCGTCAACTATTCAACTTGTTAAAGCACAGCTCAGTCAGAGGTGCACAAAGGCGAGCGCAGCCTGTTTTTAGCATCCCCGTGTTCTCTTTTGTCGGTGACAGAATAAGATGACAACAATGGGCGAGCATGCGGCAACGTCATTCAGAGCGCCGAATTACCCCCCCAAGGGTGACCCGCTATCGCTCCCCGCTGAGAACAATGCCGCAAACAGCCTGGAACGCGCTTGCAGGCTGCACGTCAAAAATTTATGCTTTTCAGCCCTCGGGCCGAGCAGAGATGTTGAGTTTGTCGTGCAAAGTAATATCTGAAAATGTTGGTTTTCAGCAAGCAATTAACCCTTTCGGGCACCAAAAATGACAAAAAAATTGTTTCCATTCAGGACGACCAGTCAAGGACATTGAAAAAAGGCGAGGCGTTTACGTGATGACAGAAGCAAGCGGGGAATTAGGCAAAAATCATGCAAATGAAGCGGTCGGCACTTTAGAAAGGTTTCAATGTTAAAATTAAGAGCCGCATAACGAGGCCGTCGGGATGGATGCATCAACCGCAAACATCAAAATGATTGGCAGGTCACGGTCACGACGGACCTTCATGTCGGCCGAGAAAACCACGCACGCTATTTCCCCCTACGGGTGACCGGGGGAGCCGCCTCAGCACTTCTGGCAAAGTCAAACACAAAGTCCTCAGAGAGAGGCAAAAAGCGCACGGAGGGCTCGACCAAATAAAAGCCAATCAGCAGAAGCATTGAAAAAGAAACACCATTTTCTTTCCCGGTGAAATGTGATCATCTATCTTCAAGAAAAAAAAAAAAAGAACTTTTTTTAGTCCCCACCCCTCAAAAAATACTTTTCATTTCAAAAGTCTTTTCTCAAGAAATGCAAATGCAGTCGGTACCAGCTGAAGTGTAGCGCCCGATTCATCACTCCTGTCGGCGTGTTCGACAAAGTGCGTGAGTGCGTTTTGTGTGTTTTCAATATAATCAATAAAAGTGCCTTTTGAAAGGGAGGAGAAACATCGAGACAGCGAGGCAAGCATGCAAAACAAAACAAAACAGCTTATCACCTCACAGCAGCCCGTTGACACAAGATAAAAGAGAAAGAAAAAAAAACGGTGGTTGGGGTCGAGCTGAGACCGCCGCTTTCGGCTGGACAGATCAAATAAAGAACCACCGGCGCGCTGCCCTTCTTGACGGAGAAAAGGTTAAGTGAATCTGGAGGAAGCGGGTGTTAAAAAAAAAAAACCCAAAAAATACATCAGGTCAAACGGGAACAAGACAAGGACAGACACACAAGCGCGTGGTGGGAGGGGGGGGGAGCTTTGGCCTGAGTGGGTGTTGGCTTTTCATTTGGGATAAACAGTTTCCCATGTACCACTTTTGTCGAAGTCAAACCACCCATCCATCCATTCTCTTTAGCAGGGGTCCGCAGCCCCATTTGGCACCAGCGCACACAGAGAGACAACTTTTTTTTTTTTTTCTAACCGGACCATGAAGGTCGTCAAGCTTCAAAATTTGAAGATGCATTTGTGCACTAAATGTGTTGCTACACTGTTGACATTCAACACCCGATCATTATGAGCATGTCAACGGCATTTTGCATTCAGATAAAATGATGTTTTCCGTACGGCAAAGCTTTGTTGTTCTATGGGGAAGCCAAGTTAAAAAAATTAAAATTAAAAATAAAAATCGTCTTTATAATAATGTCATGCAGCCCCACAAGATTTTTTATGAGCTTCTTTAAAATTGATTAAGTTTGAATGGTAGTAAAGAAAAACAATTCAGGCTCAGTTACAGTAGACAAAGACTTGTACAAGGACACGCTCCATATTAATTAACAAGAAATGCATGGTTTTGGGAAACCACAAGGCACCCCACTGGGCATCCTTCAATTGTTTATGCTATGTTAAGTTTTTCAACAAAACAATCCGATTCCCATAGCAGCTTCAATTAAACTGCTGAACTCAACCAAAGTGTTGAACTCAATTTCAAAGCCATCGAAATAAAACTCTGACCTGTGTTGAAAACATCTCGACTCCAAAACAAGAAAGGCCTTTTCGACAGTGGCTGAGCAACTTGCCGAAGCTTTCAAGCTTTCACTGTGTTCGTCATCAATGAAATATTCACATTTTCAATGTTTGCTCATTGCAAAAAAAGTGAAAGGTGGAAAAAAAAAAAAAAAAGACTTTCGCCTGAAGGGTTTCTGATGTGTCGGCGCGCATATGGCAAGCAAACAGCCTCATTAGGCCGCCGAGACGCCGGGCGCGCACACAAAACAAAAGCGGTTTTAATATGCTCTCAAATGTCGGCAAATACATGCAGAACATCCAGAATGAGACGGTTAAAGCGTAACCCGAGAAAACGCAGACGCTCCTCTCCCGCAGCTGTTTCTCCTCCCTGAGGTTTCACCTTTGGTGCCGGGGCGGCTGAGTATCGTAGCAACCCGGGCGGATGGGGATGTGGGGGGAGACGTCTTCTTTGAGGGGGAAGCGAAGACTGTTAGAGGCCAATAACTCCAGCGCATGAATGATTAGTGGCCATTAAATAGAAGCGGAGAAGAAGAAGGGGGATTGGCAAGGAGAGTTTTTATTGCTGGAGCTACACCTAAATAGAAATAAACAATGCGAAGCAGAGCTAAGAGGACGCACGCGGGACTACAACTATCGAGTATATTTAGAATCTTGTATTACGTTGGTCACCAATCAACGGCCCCGGACCGGTACCGAGCTGCACAGATGAAAGAGAAAAGAACTTCGGGTTTATTTATTAAGAAAGGGTGAAAAATATTTTAGTTGGAAATGTCACCGGGTTTCTCTGCATCAAATCCGTCAAGGGCGGAATGTTGACGCATGTTGTTGTGATGCTAATTGCCTCGGTCGCGTAACGCTAATAGTAAACCGACAAGCTAGCAAAAATGAGTTTAAAAAAAAAAGACATTTGTAAAATTTCTTGGCAACGGGGAAAAAGCCCAGTGACGCAACAACACAAGAACCTATGACCCAAAAAAAAAAAAAAAAAGGAAACGAAAAGTACGTTTCACAGACAATAGCAGGAGCCCAAAAAGAAACGACGGCTGAAAACTAGCATTCATGCTAAGTCCAGCGCATTTACGCGGTTTATTCTTGTGTTGATTAATGTGCACTGTCCCAAGTCCCAATAAAATAAATACATAAATACATAAAAAATGAACAAAGAAAGCCCGCTCGGCACAATATGCAACGAGCAGCTCTTGATTTAGCGCTTGGGTGACTTGTGTTATAACTCGTATCGTTCATTCGCTTTTGATTTGTTTGGCGGTGTATGTCGCATGTTGAAGCATGACCACGGTGAGCATATTAAAGCATTTTTGTTACCCTTGTTGTTGTGTTGGTGCCGCCCATAAAAGGGAGATAAAAATCCGCAGCGGATTCACGTTTGTTGTTGTAGCATTTTATGAGACAGTCCCCTCAAGTGGACGTTACAAGTCTTGCTATGGACTCAAACGCTGGACAATTTAATCCAAGCGTGTTGCCATAGCTCAAGA